CAAACACAGAATCAGCATAACTGAGGCCATCACTCTCATCATCTGAAGCATGCCACCGTTGGGACTGGTTTGGTGTAGAATTATAAGATGCCAGCTGTCGCACAACGGTCGGAGAATCAATATCTGCTTCATGGCCTTGTCTAGCTAAGTTGATCAGTTGGGAGAACTGCTGTGAGAATGCATCCTCATTAGATTCCAGACTTGCAGTGCTAGATCTCCGCCTTCTTTGTCGTCTCTGCTGACTAGTGCTGGTTGTTACATCTCTTTGGCTATCATTAAGCACAGTAGCCTTGCATTCCCTGCATATAGCTAAAGCTTCAAAGCTATTGGTCACCTCAGTATCCAAAGTAAAAGGTCTCGTGCAAACTAGGCATTGAGCATCTGGTTGGCTGGCAACGAGCTCAAAGTCGCTAGATTGTGTCTGATTGCCAGACATGGGCATCTTGTACTAGTAAATCTGACACACTGAGATGTGTAAGCAGTGCGCTGGTGAAAAGAACAAGGGGCGCTGTTGCAGATAACAAGTGGTCTAAATGGAAACAGAGGTATGTCCTGCTTAATTCCAGGGTCAGGTCTTTATCAGATACATTGTTGAGCACGCACAAAAGTTCTTTCCAGATGTCAACCTGACAAAGAAAAGCAAGCGACTGCTCCAGTTAATGACGCAGTAGAAATATGCAGCGTACATTAAACCAGATGACTATGATAAAAAAAATGGATAAGCGATTAAGCATATCTGCAAATAGAATGCAGCAGCTAACAAACAACGTATTCACATGACCAAACTGGATACTTTTACTACTGAGGACCAGCAACCACACCAACCAAATCATTTGCGGAGTCCCCCGTGTTTTCCTTCATTAGTTTCATCTAACATACGATCTTATCAATTTAATCGCCACCCTCTTTTTATCACGGAACAACCTGCCGCAAGAGATCCACGCAGACAAACTAAACAATAATGAAAAGCAGCACTGGCTACACAGGAGAGGTACCGAGATCGTACGCGCTTCATTAACGAGCAGCCGACTCCCCGATTTCCACTACAACGGGGCGCTAATATCAAACGCGAGGGGAAAATATTTTGCGCGGATTTGGAGAAGAGCCGCAGCCATTTGCGATGCGACAGCAAACAATCAGTTGACGGTAAGGTCCAAGGGTTCGAAGAAAATCACCTTCGCCTCGAAAATCTAGGCCGTGATGCGGCGGGAGAGAACTTCGCCGGCGGGAACAGCGATCTGGGAGTCGTAGACCAATCTCGGCGATGCTGGGGCTCGGCTAGGGGAAGAGGACGACGTCGGAATTGGGGGTTGGAGATCGGCGGATCGCGGAGGAAAGGGAAAGGTTGGAGTTTTTTTTTTTTAACAGTTGCAGGATTTATTTCGAGTTTTTTCTGCGGGAGAAAAGAGACAACCGTGGCGGGCTTGTTCGAGTAGGCCCATTGAAGCTTGGGCGCTCGGCCCATTGAGAACCACACGCACGCCGATGTCCCAGGGGCAGTAGCGTCTTTCCCGCTCGATTCGTCGCCATCACCAACCTCCATTGGCGCCCACCCGCAGAGCTCCACTTCCACGGGACCACGACCACTCACTCGTCACCCTCCCCATGGCCGCCGGCGTGAGCAGGCTTCCGCCGCGTCTCACCACGCTTGCGGTCAAATCCTCGCCGACACCGAGCCCCTTCGGCCCCAACAAGCGCGTCGCCAGGCCCAGGCTCTGGCCCCCGCCGATCTCCATCTCCATGGACCCAGCCCTCGTCGACCCGGCCCACCTCCAGGCCCTCATGCTCGCCTGCGCGCACTCCTGCGCCATACGCCTCTCCCCGCCGGAAGCCGCCGCGCGGCCGGAGCCCGTCGACATCCGCAAGCTCCGCACCGCCGTGGCGCACAGCTTCCTGGTCGTGTCCGTCTTCTGCGGGACCAGGTTCTTGGAGGAAGACGACGGAGGGGACGACCGGCGCTTCATGGGCCTGGAGCTAGACCTCGGGCTCGGGCGGCGTGGGGAGCAGCGGCTCGTCGGGTTCGGACGGGCCGTCTCCGACATGGGGCTCACCGCCTCCGTCCATGACGTCGTGGTGATCTTCTCCTCTCTTCTTGCTTGTAGAATTGCCAGTGAGGCGTTCTTGATTTTACAGTGGCAAACGGCGTGAAACCAATGGTTATCGCTCCAGCGCGTGTGTTCATGGAACTATCTTCAGTGACTTTCAGGTTCATCCATCAGTGCAGAGGAGAGGAATTGGGCGCAAAATACTTGAAAAAATTACAAGGTAGGTTGCTGACATTGGATTTTTCTGGTGAAGTCTGAAAGGGGCTAACTTCTGAGTTGACCTAATAGAGGGAAAATAGCATTCATGCCTTCTTATGTAAACTGTGCAAGTTAGCAATAACGAAGCAGAAAACACATGATGTTCCTTTCATGGACTCAAATAGAGACCTCTTGCACCGAAACATACAAATCTCCTGCACCATTGGAAAGAAACGACCGAGTGATAAGCAAACAGAAGATAATATCCTGCGTTTGAAATATGCTTCTTACTTGATAAAACTATCTTCAGGGTATTGTGTTTCTCTGTTAAACATAGTATCCCAGTCATCACGCATATATCATACTCTCTCCGTCCCAAAATTCTTGTCTTACATTTGTCTAGATACGGATGTATCTAATACTAAAACCAGTGGCGGAGCTTGCAAGAAAAAGTTGGGCGGGCCAAAAAAAAGAAGAGCATAATTTTTTTTTAAATTGAACCAAGAAAAAGTTGGTCATAACCACATTTTTTCTTTTAGTACTCTATCCATGATGTGAAAAGACCAAATCAATTGTACCACATTACAATTTTTATAAGCTAAAAATAATCAAGGTATTAATTTTAAAAATACAGTATTTAGGGAGATATACATTGCAGTAGACTAGCACGAACGTGGCGGTTGCATAGATGTCTCTGACCGTGGCTGATGCATGCATTTGTGTTGTAGTAACCGTGAAGGGGACAACTGAATTAGTGAGCGTTGATTGCTGCAGCAAGGTGTTAATCAAGGCGAGAAGATTACTTTTTTCTGAATTGGGAGAAGATTACGGCGGGCAATGGATGCTCCCTGCTCTGCAGCGCTGCTTCGTGCTTAAGACGGGGAGAGTTTGGAGCAATGCGCTGCTTGCCTGAGGAATTTACCGCCTAGTAACCGAAGTACAATTGAGCTGGGTTGGGAAAATGTACATAGCTTACTAAAAAAATGTCAAAAACCTGGGCGGGCCATAGCCCGGTTTAGCCCCTACAAAGCTCCGCCCCTGACTAAAACGTGACTTGATACATCCGTATTTAGACAAATTCAAGACAAGAATTTTGGGACGGAGGGAGTACTTACCTGGACAGGTAACATTAGCACGGCTGTTTGTCGGTAGCAAAGCTTACTTGACCGACAGACTATAAAGTGATTTATGTTATGTTTTTCTTGGGGTACAGACTTCACAGTTTTCTTGTATTACTTTGACTGCATATTGAAACATGAACAGTGAATGTATCTCTGGATCGACTAAACTCAGAGGTTGGAACAACATGCTTATGCACAATACAAAGTACTTGAGCAGAGATAATCGTAGTGTCAAAAAACGTCTTATATTAACTTACAGAGGGATTATATTTTAAAAGGTGCTGATTTATTTGCTGTCCAAAGTTTAAGCTTCATCTAATTTGCTTGTTTCTGAAACAATCTCTCCAGGGTACTCCATAGCAGAGGTATTTATGACATTTCCGCATTATGCACAGGAAAGGAGAGGTATGGCTTTCTTACCTAATTTGGTGGACTTCATGAATGTCCTTTCGTGTTATCTGTAAAGGGGGAAGCGGTGATCTACTTCTACCTCCACATATCACCTGCAATAGAATCTTATGACAGTATATGATGATGTTTACACATCTTTTGGTACTGTTTGCAGGCCATTTTTTGAAGCATGTGGATTCGATGATGATGCCATGGGTGCCACAACAATGATGTACACTAGAAACTTGCACGAGTAGCATTCCTATGGATGGTTGGCAATCTGCACAATGATACTACCACGGCTCCTTTTTTGCTGGTTATTATCTGCTGCCACCTGAGAATGCCGACTGTAAAGAGGGTTCTGCGATCCAGCAGTGGTTTTACCCCTCTAACTGGATCCGGTATCCATGGTGCCCCAGCCTTTTCTGTCTCCGAGGAAACCGGCCGAATAAATTAGAGAAACTTGTGGACACAGTAGTACACTTCACCTTTTTATCATGTGTGGAAGATGGCATTATTTATAGCATGTTCAGAATCCGGACCAGCATTTGTAAATTTACCACTGATGGTAAAAGCTTGTGTGTTTACAGAGATAAATGTTTGTACACATTGTTTTCGTCGTCATGGATGTCGGCACACAAAGAGTGAATCACATAAAGAGAACTTTGATATACATAAACTGTAGATTTGTGGACGGTTGGTGCTGTCAAATTTTATTGGGAAATTTTCCTTCATCAAGTTATGTTGCAGGATAGACAACAGCATAAATAAATCAAGGGAAATGTCCGCAGGATTTCAACTCTATGCAAAAGATTAAACAGTACTACCTCCGTCCCATAATATAAGAGCGTTTTTAACACACGTTCTTATATTATGGGGCAGAGAGAGTAATTGATACATCCATGACATTCTGTAAACAACAACCCTTTGCTCTACGTCTACCACTTTACAAATAAGAAGTTTTAGTTACAGGAAGATGGTGATGATTCGATGGGACCAACCAATCCAATGAATTCTTCTCAGCCTCTGGGTTTTGTGCAGTAAGATTCTCTTATCCAACTTTGCACAAAAGCTTCATCGTATATAAACACCCATGGCTATTAAATGATGGATCTCCAACAGAAATGCAATCTCCAATCGTTAAACTGCAATCTCGTTATCCCTGTCGAGACAATTGTAGGTCCATCTGTTCTTTTTTTTTTTTTGAGAACAGGTCTTCTGCATATGCATTTACCAGCATGCATCGTCATACAGCTGCTTGGAACACATGCTCATCTGGAGTTCCAAAGGCCCTCTGTAGGAACCGTTCGACGACAGAAAGGAATTCTTCAGCTCGTTCCTCCTGGGGCAAGTGCCCACAATTCTTGATAACCTCAAATGTCGCGCCAGGAATCGCACGCGCTAGACGTTCAGCATTTGAAGCTGGAACAAGGCGGTCTGTGTCGCCAGTCACCACTAGCACTGCAATGATAAGACAATCAAAACTATTCAGAAATAACATTGTTTACCGATCTTCTGTTAAAGAGAAGATTGTCTTATGTATCGTGTATTAGAGCATTCAAAACTTCATCTGAAATTTCTAGGGACATCAGCACATATTTAGTCCAGCAGTAGCACTAACTACACAGATAAGGATAACATGACCACTAGAAGAAGCATATAGTTGAACCTGGGCATGAGATCTCAGAGAGCCTCTTCGATACTGGCACTCTTGACTTAGGTGTAGAATCTGTGATCATGGATATAGTGTACTCCAAGAGAGCCGTCTCCCATCCCTTGGATCTTAGTGGCTGAAAGAAATTCCATGAACAACAATATGAGTAGGTCTTTCTCACTTGGAGATATTTTCCTACAGAGAACTCACCTTGGTGTAGCCTTGAATAACATGATCAGTTACTTTGCTTGGGTCATACCATGCATTACGAACGCCCGTTACGCCGAATTTATCCATGATCAATCTCACCTATGAAAAGGAATCCAACCACAAAAGTTGCAGGAACTAGAAGTCTGTATTTTGACTATTTAAGAAGTACTCCCTCTGTTCCAAAATTCTTGCCGTGGTTTTTGTTCAAAATTTGAACTAAAACCAGGACGTATTTTGGAACGGGGGGATTAAATTCTAAATTTTGCGGGTTCTTTAGGGTCCTAAATTTTGTGTTTTAGTCAGTAGTGAGTCAGGAAAGAGCAACATACCAGACTCGCCGCCAGTGAAGATCGTAGAAAGGCCACAAGAACCTTAGAAGACAAAGCTCTGACCGTATCCTGTATTGCCATGACCAACTTGAGAACAAGCCCTGCAAGCCACATACACATGCCAAGAAACCCTCTCCATATCCTAGCAAATGGATTTGGTGCTGCATTGTTATCATCAGAATCCTTCTTGTCTGCCCCTTCCTGCTCCTCTACGCTGTTCTCTTTCTCACCCTTCCTCGGCGCGAAAATCGCCGGTGCAACCAGCACCAGCGCCGCTACCCGCTCGGGCGCCTCGAAGTACGCCTCCACTGCAACGAGGCAACCGGCAGAGTGCCTGGGATGACCCAAACCGGAAAATTAATCTCAATGTCCCTTATCAAACAAAACTAGCAATGCAGCGATACAGAAAAATGCAGTGCAGAGTGTGCATCTGTACCCAACAAGGACGGCCTTCCCGGCGCCGAGGTGGTCTATGAATGCCAGTGTGGCCATGGCCGAGAAGGCCATGGAGTAAGGGTTGAGAGGCTTGGTGTCATCGCCGGACCATCTGGCCCGGGAGGTCAGGCCAAACGCCGGCCGGTCGAAGGCGAGGACCTTGGCACCGGCGATGCGGGCGAGTGGCCGCATGACGCGGCTCCAGGAGAACATCGACGCGCCGAAGCCCTGAAGCAGCACTATAGGCAGCCCGACCTGACTCCTGGCGACGGCGGAAGCCCGAGGACTGGTCGCCGGAATCCTCGTCCTCGTGATGAGCGCAGACCTTGTGGTGGACCCTGACGCCGTTGATCTCGTAGAAGCTGCTGTCAGGGTCCGCGAGCGCGTCCGGGTCGAGGAGCTCGTCCTGGTCGATGCCGGCCACGAGCCGGCGGCGGCGCGGAGGCATCTGCGTACCGCTGCCCGGAACCGATCCTGCGTTTGCTTCGGGGTTTAGTGCGTGCTTGTGTTTGGGGAAAGTGAAAAAAGATATTCGCAATTTCGAACCACTTTCTAGCGCAACGATCCCAATTTTTCGCTCCAAGAAGAAGAGCACCCCAACCTCCTTTTCTCGGAACACCAATTTGAAGCATCTCTCCTATCCTATCGAAATGTAAAATCTTTCACTCCCAATGCAAGAAAAGGAAGTTACCGGCAGGGAACTCGGCGGCGGCGGCTGAAGGCGGGGGAGGACCGGCCGTGCGGCGAGCGCGGAGAAGTGGACGACGGCTGTGCGCGGCGGCGGCGGTGGAGGGGAGAATGTTTGCGACGGCGGGCGGCGGGGGTCGGAGGGAGAGGAGCGTCAGCATCTGATCAGGCCCCAGCCGGCGCGGGAAGCTGACGGGCGGATGGTCGTTGGCTGGAAGGATTCGGCGGAAGCTTAGCGTGGATTGCGTGGGGGCCGCCGGCAGTGGCACGACGGCCTGAGGCTGTAATCCGGGAGCTAGCGATGTGTCAGTGCTATGGTACGTTGCCCCTGTTTCAAAATTTGGATCTTGTGCCGACCAGCTTAGCATTAGCTCATTCACACACACACACAAAAAAAAAAAAAACTTGGCATTAGGTCGTTGCACGCGTCGTTAAAGCATATCCCTACAAACTCTAAGCTCCCTAGAATTCGCGGCCTCTGCTACGCAGAGGCTGTGGTAGCCCGCGTGGGCCTTGGCTTGTGAAATGGTGAAACACTTTTGAAGGCCGCTGGACCCACTCGCATCATGTCGTGGTGTTGTTGCATTCACTAAGGTTTACATGTTTGCCATTTGTTTACCTAAAAAAACGTGTCTGCCCTTTGTAGCGTGCAGGGTCAACTGATTCTGGCGGCGCGGAGACTGGAAGCCGCCGTCTCTGCCGGATCTTGCGTACTTCCTTCCTCGCCGAATGGGGTGGAGGACTGCGGCGCTCGCCGTAGAGGGTGGATGGGTGCGACGATGTCCTGTCCCTTTCCGACGTCCTGCTGAATCTGTGCTGGTTCGGGTGGATTTTGCCTGTCTAACCGTGCTATACACACGAAGGGTATTAGGACGACTCATAGACGATGGTTAAAATCCGGCCGGACATGCATGCATACATCGAGCACCTGCTGCTGGATTTCGTTGTCGTGCGTACATCGGGCACCAACATCGTGCATGAAGCAGTTTCGTTGCCTGTCCAAGGTAGCGCATCCCCTTCTTTTTCCTTTTGCTTGATGTTGCTCTTGTTGTCCGTCTCGTCGTGGGTGCCCGTAGTATGTTCATTCCTCAGCTGGCGTCATCGAGCGTTGCTTGTTGTACGATTGCGTGGGGTTGGATCCTTCGCCATTCCAGTGAGAGGCTGGTCGTATGCCGCGAGCAGGTCGCCGCGGTGCTGGGTTCAGCTCCTCCAACTTTTGACCGTTTGTTTTTCCTCTATTTATCAATCTCTCTTGCCATTGAAGTGTGCTGTTTGTTCCTCTTTGTGCTTTTTGCAGGCTGTGTGGGTGCATGTTCAGAGCCGAACAAGGTGTGTCGCGGCCGTTCTGAAATTTGTGGCCATAGTTATATTGTTATCTTTGCAGGTGCTTTTCCTCCGCGGCAAACAGTTGGCTTCCACTTTCCTTCACCTCTGCTCCTTCTCTGCCTTACATATTGCCATTCAATGCTGGATAAGATGGATGGCAAGTATGTAGTTGAGATCATATTCCAATTAATTTTAGGGCATCGCTCTATGTATGCATGGTGAATTTTTTGGTGCACACAAAAGAAGTACCCCTTTTTATGTGACAAAAAGAAGCTCCACTAGAGGATTACCAAAGATTGGGACATACTTGTGCACATCAAATTCTAGCAGCTCTCCTACTTTTTTTGGGAGAGTGGTAAGTGTTTTGGAGCATTACATGGTTTGTTCGTTCTAGGCCTTTCTGTTTCTTACAGGAAAAACTACGTATTTCTTTAGTTGGATCTGCTTTTCCGATTGTGCTCACCCAATGATCCAGTAGGATATGTATCAGACTATAATCTGTTCTAATGGATTTTTTTGATATGTTGTCAAAAGAGGTAAAAAGGTGGCAACTTAGCAGTATTTATTGGAAGCAATAAGGGAGATCAAAAAATTGATGCTCAAGTTAACCTGTTGGCAGAGGATACGAGCGAAGATGTCTACCTCCTTGGCACCCTTGGTTTCATCCCCAGTTACTCCTTCATACACTCAACAGGAAACTAAGCTCCCAAGAATTCGCGGCCTCTACTGCGCCGAGGCTGTGGTAGCGCTCGTGGGCCTGGCTTGTGAGATGGTGAAACACTTTTGGAGGCCGATGGGCCCACTCACATCATGTCGTGGCATTGTTGCGTTCACTCAGGTTTACGTGTGTGCCCTTTGTTTACCTAAAAAAACATGTCTGCCCTTTGTAGCGTGCAGGGTCAACTGATTCTGGCGGCGCGAAGACTAGAAGCCGCCATCTCTGCCGGATCTTGCGCTCTTCCTTCCTCGCCGAATGGGGTGGAGGACTGCGTCGCTCGCCGTAGAGGGTGGATGGGTGCGATGATGTCCTGTCCCTTTCCGACGTCCTGCTGGATCCGTGCTGGTTCGGGTGGATTTTGCCTGTCTAACCGTGCTATACACACGAACTGTATTCGGACGACTCATAGACAATGGTTAAAATCCGGCTGGACATGCATGCATACATCGAGCACCTGCCACTGGATTTCGTTGTCGTGCGTACATCGGGCACCAACATCGTGCATGAAGCAGTTTAGTTGCCTGTCCAAGGTAGCGCATCCTCTTCTTTTTCCTTTTGCTTGATGTTGCTCTTGTTGTCCGTCTCGTTGTGGGTGCCCGTAGTATGTTCGTTCCTCAGCTGGCGTCGTGGATTGAGCGCTGCTTGGTGTACGATTGCGTGGGGTTGGATCCTTCGCCATTCCAGTGAGAGGCTGGTCGGATGCCGCGAGCAGGTCGCCGCAGTGCTGGGTTCAGCTCCTCCAACTTTTGACCGTTTATTTTTTCCTCTATTTATCAATCTGTCTTGCCATTGAAGTGTGTTATTGTTGGGTTTCGTAGTAATTTCAAAAAATTTCCTACGCGCACACAGGATCATGTGATGCATAGCAACGAGAGGAGAGTGTTGTCTACGTACCCAACGCAGACCGACTGCGGAAGCAATGACACGACGTAGAGGAAGTAGTCGTACGTCTTCACGATCCAACCGATCAAGCACCGAAACTACGGCACCTCCGAGTTCGAGCACACGTTCAGCTCGATGACGATCCCCGGACTCCGATCCAGCAAAGTGTCGGGGAAGAGTTTCGTCAGCACGACGGCGTGGTGACGATCTTGATGAACTACAGCAGCAGGGCTTCGCCTAAACTCCGCTACAGTATTATCGAGGAATATGGTGGCAGGGGGCACCGCACACGGCTAAGGAATCGATCACGTGGATCAACTTGTGTCAACTTGTGTGTTTAGAGGTGCCCCTGCCTCCGTATATAAAGGATGGAGGAGGAGGAGGCCGGCCAAGGCAAAGGTGCGGCCAGGATAGGGAGTCCTACTAGGATTCCAAGTCCTAGTAGGAGTCCACCAATAGGGGAGGAAGGGAGAAGGAATAGGAGGAGAAGGAGAGGTGGCCGGCCCCCTTTTCCCTAGTCCAATTCGGACCAAAGGGGAGGGGGGCGCAGCAGCCTTTTTCCTCTTCCCACTAAAGCCCATCAAGGCCCATTACTTCTCCCGTAACTACCCGGTACTCCGAAAAATACCCGAATCACTCGGAACCTTTCCGATGTCCGAATATAGTCGTCCAATATATCGATCTTTACGTCTCGACCATTTCGAGACTCCTCGTCATGTCCCCGATCTCATCCGGGACTCCGAACTCCTTCGGTACATCAAAATGCATAAACTCATAATATAACTGTCATCGTAACCTTAAGCGTGCGGACCCTACGGGTTCGAGAACAATGTAGACATGACCGAGACATGTCTCCGGTCAATAACCAATAGCGGGACCTGGATGCCCATATTGGCTCCTACATATTCTACGAAGATCTTTATCGGTCAGACCGCATAACAACATACGTTGTTCCCTTTGTCATCGGTATGTTACTTGCCCGAGATTCGATCGTCGGTATCCAATACCTAGTTCAATCTCGTTAACGGCAAGTCTCTTTACTCGTTCCGTAATACATCATCTCACAACTAACATATTAGTTGTAATGCTTGCAAGGCTTATGTGATGTGTATTACCGAGAGGGCCCAGAGATACCTCTCCGACAATCGGAGTGACAAATCCTAATCTCGAAATACGCCAACCCAACATCAACCATTGGAGACACCTGTAGTACTCCTTTATAATCACCCATTTACGTTGTGACGTTTGGTAGCACCCAAAGTGTTCCTCCGGTAAACGGGAGTTGCATAATCTCATAGTCATAGGAACATGTATAAGTCATGAAGAAAGCAATAGCAACATACTAAACGATCAGGTGCTAAGCTAATGGAATGGGTCATGTCAATCAGATCATTCTACTAATGATGTGACCTCGTTAATCAAATAACAACTCATTGTTCATGGTTAGGAAACATAACCATCTTTGATTAACGAGCTAGTCAAGTAGAGGCATACTAGTGACACTCTGTTTGTCCATGTATTCACACATGTATTATGTTTCCGGTTAATACAATTCTAGCATGAATAATAAACATTTATCATGATATAAGGAAATAAATAA